TTGAGATACTTAGTTAAATAAATTATTGAGATACTTATGAGTTTGTGGAGGAAATAAGTGATAGCGTGGAGAACCTTCCAGAATCTGTGTTCATTGTGCTGTGTCCATCTTGGGATAGGATGGGATTGTAGGAGCTGAGTGAGAACAGGGCTGTGTCCAGGTGGAGCTCAGTCCACTGTTGACTGTGACATGGTCACTCCTCAGCTCTGTCACCTCAAGGCTCTCTTCTCTTTTTCACTTAAAACCACATTCTGAGATCTGTTGTCACAGAGACACAGGGAATGCCAGAGCAATGTCCTGTCCCCAGAATTGTGAGCAGCCAAGGCTGCTGTGACAGGTCAGCCTGGGCTCTGACCTGGCTGTAGCTCTTTACGCCATATTCCCTGTTTATTGTAGTACTAAAGCTTTGGGATAAAGTTGTATTCAGAGGCTACACATTAAAAACAGGCACGGGTAGAGTGTAAGAAGCACTTTGACAACACACCCAGTTGATTTGGAGACCATCCAGGAGAACCTGTTGGTCTGGAAAGTTCCCTGTGTGAGTTGTGTTAATGCTGTGTTTGTGTGGAGGACATGGGACCCTCCTGTAGAGAGTGACAGTGGGGACAGATGGGGAAACTCCTTTGATTTGTGAGCATGTACATGGCTGGCACTCTGTGACCCTGAGAGCCCAGAGCTTCTGTTCAAACCCTCGCTGCAGGGGGCTGGGTTGGGTGGTGGCTCAGGTCTGGGTGAGGCCCTGTGCTGCAGAGAAAAGAACCCCAGAAAACTCAGCATAAAAACGAAGGTGGTGTCATTTCCAGGACAAGTATGGAGCTGGAGAGATTGCTCAGGGCTGAAGAGCACTCATTGCTCTTCCAGAGGACCTGGGTTCAGTTCCCAGCTCACCCCCCCACCCCCCCACACCGGCCCAGGATAGGGGATAGGCTGCCCTCTTCTGGCCACCCGAGGCACTGCATTCACATGGTGCAGGGACATAACCTGGTCAAACATCCTTACACATTAAAATAAATATTTTTAAAAGAAAGGAAGATAAATGGAGGAAAATTAGATTTCTGTAACGAACAAGGTCCCTGAACAGTGTTGGGGGTCGTTATAGCAGGAGGGGATCTCCAAGGCCCTCCTACACCACTCTAGGGTCCCCTGCACTAGTGCTCACTGATCTTAGGGATGAGCGAGGGAAGGGAAATTGACACAACTTCCCCTACAGAGTGGCCCCGGATGCTGCTGTAGGCTGTGAAGCCTGTGTGTTCATTTATGCTGTTTGTTTTATCTTGTTGTAGCCCAGGTTGGCCTTGATTCTTGATCCTTCTGTCTCCTCTCAGCATGCCAAGTGCCAGATTGTATGTGTGTGTGTGTGAGTGTGTGTGTGAGTGTGTGTGTGAGTGTGTGCGCACTTGTGTGCTTCTGTGTGTGCACATGAATGTGAGTGTGTGTGTTTGTGCTTGTGTGCGTGCATGTGTGTGTGCACATGAGTGTGAGAGTGTGAGTGTGTGTGTGAGTGTGTGTGTGTGTGTGAGAGAGAGAGAGAGAGAGAGAGAGAGAGAGAGAGAGAGAGAGAGCGAAGACAGGAGAGAGAGAGAGGAGAGAGAGAGGAGAGGAAAGAGAGAGGAGAGGAAAGAGAGAAAGAAAGGAGAGGAGAGAGAGAGACAGGAGAGAGAGAGACAGGAGACAGGAGAGAGACAGGAGAGAGGAGAGAGAGAGAGAGAGAGAGAGAGAGAGAGAGAGAGAGAGAGAGAGAGCAATTAGAGAGTTTAGTAGCAGTTGGGGGAGGATCTTGAAATAGATCTTCCTCGGATCAGCCCGGGGATCGCAGGTCCCGTGCAAACTGCAAAGCAGAGGCTCCAGGGCTGAAGAGAAAATCTCTCGCTAATTTGGGATGAAGTGGACACAGGTGACAGCTCCCTGCCTTCCCCAGTTCACAGCAGCTCTGGTGAGCAGGGGCTCTGATCAGCTCCCACCCCTGGGTCCTGCTGCCCCCTGTTGGCCATTAGCGGCTTCGCGGCTTCCAAGGGTTCGGGATGGACAGGGAGCGCACAGTTAATTAATTGTCCATCAGACCGCAGGCTGCAGGGTTCTGGAGCCGCCCAGGCTGTCTGGGCCACCCTGAGGAACCGCTGTCCCCTGCACAGCCCCTCACATCACAGCGTCAGTTCCCTTTCCTTCAGTTGCTGACGTTGCCCGGGATTTCATCCAGGGCTGCCTGTGTGTCGAGCATGTCCTGACTGACCACACCTCAGCCCCACTAGCTTAGTTTGGTGTAACCCACGCAAAGAAAGGCCCCGGTGTCTTTGAGACACCTGTAATCCCAGCCCTCAGCAGGCAGAGGCGGGGATCTCTGAGTTCCTGAGCACATAGCAAATCCCAGGACAGCCGGGGTGTGAGGTGAGACCAGAACACGGGGATCCCCAAGACTGACAGTGGAGAGGGGGTGCAGTAGGGGGTAAGGTGTGTCAGGACGGAAAGGGCCATGAAAGAGTCCCAGGCCGGGACTGGGGTGAGCCTGTGGCCCCCGCCTAGTACTGAGCCAGGTGAGCCTCAGGGAACCTTGGAGCCAGAGCGAGCCTGGAAAAGCTGGAACTTGGTCCAAGGAGGGGAAAATAGCGGTGGACTGGGCGAGCTCCACAGGACAGCACTTGACCCCGCCCACAAGACCTATGGCCCAATCAAGAGTGGCTTTCAGAGTCTCCCTCCTTCTTTCCCCTTCTCTGGGCTTCAACATGCCAGATCCTCAGGTGTTCGATCCTCAGGTGCTCGGCAAAGATGCCACTGGCCACGTACCTGAGAGTGGGGTGGAGGAGATGACCTCAGGTGTGTGTGTGTGTGTCAATGTGTGTGAGTGTGTGTGTGTGAGTGTGTGTGAATGTGTGTGTGTGTGTGAATATGTGTGTGTGTATGTGTGTATGTGTGTGTGTGTATGTGGTGCGTGTGTGTGAATGTGTGTGTGTGTGTGTCAGTGTGTGTGTGTGTGTGTGTGTGTGTGTGAATGTGTGTGTGTGTGGTGTGTGAGTGTAGTGTGTGGACAGCACCTGAAATTTTCCCCCACATTGTCAACGGAACCTAGGGACTGCCATCCACCTTGCAAGTTTCCTGCCTCTGAACTATGCTCCGCCCCTTTACTTTGTTTTTTTAGATTTAAGTATGTAGTGTTCTATCTACATTCACACCTGCAGGCCAGAAGACGGCACCAGATCCTATTACAGATGGTTGTGAGCCCTCATGGGATGCTGGGAATAGACCTCAGGACCTCTGGAAAAGCAGCCAGTGCTCTTAATCCCCAAGCCCTCTCTCCAGCCCTCTCATGCCGCCCCTACCCCCCGGTGCCCTTTACTTTTAAGAACTGGTCCACGCTGGTCTTGAACGTATTCTGTAACCCAAGCAGGCTTTCCATCCTGTGCCTCAGTCTCCCAATTAGCTGGGATTACAGGTCTACAAACCAAACAGGCTTTTAAGACTTGCTCAAGGTTGCTGGGTGGTGGTGGTGCACCCCTTTAATCCCAGCACTCAGGAGGCAGAGGCAGGAGGATCTCTGTGAGTTTGAGGCCAGCCTGGTCTACAAAGTGAGTTCCAGGACAGCTGGGGCTGCACACAGAAACCCTGTCTGGACCCTCCCAAAGGACTTGTTCCTTCACTCTAGAGCACTGGTTCTCAACCTGTGGGTCTCAACCCCTTTGGGGGTTGAAGGACCCCTTCATAGGGGTTGCTTAAGACCATCAGAAAACACAGACATTTACATTATGATTCATAACAGTAGCAAAATTACAATTATGGAGTGGCAATGAAAATAACTCTATGGCTGGGGTCACCACAGTGTGAGGAAATGTATTAAAGGGTGGCAGCATCAGGAAGGTTGAGAACCACTGCTCTGCAGTCTTCTCTGGGCACATAAGCAGGGCCGCAGGAAGGGTCTGAGTCAAATGTAAATGACAAGGTATGTGTTTTAGAGACAGTCTCACCCGTCCCAATGTCTGGGTGCAGGTGTTGCAGGCCCTCCACCTTCAGAGGAGTTGTGACAACCACTTAGGGGCTGAGACAGACAATCTCAGTCATGTGGTCTTTTCCCACGGTAACCCTCGGGGCAGGGCCCAAAGCTGTCCATGTGTCCAGGTCTGGTGACATGTGCCACCTTCCTGGAGAGCTACAAAGCAGTCCCCTCCCTAAGCAACCTAGCCACTGTTGGGTCAGAGCAGCGAGAGACCATAGGTTACCACCCTGCCTCCTTCCTGGAGTCCACCAGGGTGGGAACCAGAGAGGTCGACAGTAAGGAAATGCTGGAGAACTCAAAGGCCCCAGGACAAAGGAGAGGAAGCTGTCACAGCACATTAAGTACTTGTTATTGCCTACAGACAGACAGACAGACAGACAGACAGACAGACAGACAGAGGTGATGGGTTAGTGTTCAAGTGGAGACCGCAGACCACCAAGCTACAGGAGAGTGGAGGCCGCCTCCACCGCTCTTCTAAGAGTTGAGACTCAGTCAGAGATGAAGCAGTGGGGGCTCTCACAGGTGTGAACCAACAGGGTGGCGGTGACAGGGATGGGAAAGTCACAAAGTCACCTCAGAGGTCCAGGAAGAAGTGGCCTTGGGCACACTCTCTTGAGGCTGAGTCCTGCAATGGAGGCCGGAGGAGGACTGTGGAAGCCTCAGAGGCAACAGGAAGGGAAGGGGACCTCGTAATCTTTTTAAAAAAGACTTATTTACTTACTTACTTATGTATTTGAGTGCTCTGTTGATTTTTTGACCAAGTTTGCCATAGGGATAAGAGCACAATCCTATTCAGGAGTTTCTATTCATAATTAGGATTTATGACCTCGATGTTGGATCAGGACATCCCAATG